ATTTTTTATTTTCGTAACCTACTGCAATTCAACGCCTGAAAATATAAATAATAGGCTTGACAATTGGCGCTTCAGAAATATATTTCAAGATTTAAAAAGAAATTCATGTCACACTCAACTTTCACAGCTCTAAAAAGAATTGACATACACAAATATTAGGATTTTTTTTCAAGTTATTCAGTAATCCTTTACAACAAAATTATATATAGACTTTCCCATTTTGAATGCAGTCAATAACTTCAATTTTGCTTACAGTAGAATATTAATAAGGAAGAAATGATGAGAACTTTGATGAGTTTTCCACGGTCTCTTGTGACTGAATGAATGATTTTGGGCAAACATTACATGAATAAGGTTTCTTATCTGTATGAACCATTTCATGGTTTTCCAAACTAATTCCCCGATAAAACGATTTTTGAACAGATCTTGGCAACGAATCAGTCTTTCCCTGAATGGATCATCAAGTATCCTGTTGAATGTTCCTTCTGTTTGAAAGATTTTGTGCAAATTTTACAATTATAAGGCTTTTCTACTGAATAGGCAGTGTGCAAATTTTACAATTATAAGGCTTTTCTCCTGAATAGGCAGACTTCTTGTGAGCTATAAATGTTTTCCCTAGTTTGTAAGACGCTGAGCAGATTTCACACTCAAATCTGTCTTCTGAATTAACGTTTTGATGTTCTTCTAGGTGGCTCCAACTATTGAAAGATTTCGAGCAAATTCTACACTTTTGAGCATATTTTACACTGAAATAATTTCTTTTCCAAATCCATTACTCCATGACTTTTTAAACTTTCCGAAATATTGACAGGTTTAAGACTGGTTTAAACTCCCTGTCTGGATTCGCAGATTGAGTAGCTGTGCTGATGAAAAAATTTCGACTGGAGAATAATGATTCATTTAGATAAAACAAATCAGAAGTACACTGTTTTCATGAAGGAAATGTTAGTAAACATTTTATGGAAAGGCATTGATATCATCGGCTTTTCATTTATTTGCCTTCAACGTTTTTATTACAGAACTCAAAAATATAAGTTTTAAACATCCAAAAATTGATAATGCTATATCCACATTGAAGCACAAAGCAACGACTTATTGACTATTGAGTTATATCATTGTTCAATATTCCTAGCATCAATGTAATAAATAGGTTTTCAATAATTGAATAATTGAAAAATTAGTGGTTTATCAAAAAGTTTTATGCTTAAATCCATAATGCTTGGGGGACTACCTGTTTTTTGATGACTCAAGACAGTGATATAACAAAAAAAAATATTTTTGTTAATTCTGAATGCCGAACTCTGAAAATGATATGTACATTGTGACAAAAAAATTTCATGGATTTTGATAAAAAAAAAGGACGAGACTTGATGAATTTTTTGGTTCAAATATATATTTTACCTGGTGAATAATTAGTTTTCACATCCAGTGTAACATTCTCATCTCCTACATCTTTGCTAATGAATTCCACTTTTATAGTCTCTTCATGAATTTTCAGGTTATCCTTGATAACTTCTTGAACATTCAAATCATCCTTGACGTCTTTTTCATAAATATTCAAGTCATCCTCGATAACCACTTCATTAATATTAAAATATTTTTCATCCGAATTCTCAATTGATATTGGTTTATATTGATTTGTTGACAGATCCATGGAAGATAGTTTTTTACCTCTATGAAAATATTTCTGGTGAGTTTTCAAATTCTCCACCGAAAAAAAAGATTTGGTGCATATCTTGCAACAATATGAATTTTTTCCTTTTTCTAAGTGATTCTTCACATGTATTTTGAAACTTTTCGATAGATGAAAAGTTTTGGAGCAAAATTGGCAAGAAAATCGTTTTTCTGTATGNCCCGCATTACAGAACTGAAAAAAATAAATTTTACGAATTCAGAAATTGATAATGCTATATTCACATCAAATCATAAAGCAACGATTACTGACAATACATTAGTTAGACAATAATTTACAATTTTTCTATGAAATTTTCACTGCTAAATTTTTTAATTGACTGTTGAGTTAGATCATAGTTCAATGTTCTATTTATTCAAGTTTGATGTCATATTTTGTATAGCATCAGTGTAATAAAAAGGTTCTCAATGATTGAAAAACTTATTAGTGATTCATCAAAAACTTTTATTTTCAAATTCATCATGCAAGGCGAGTACCTGTTTTTTGATGACTCTTGACAGTGATATAACAAAATAAAAATGATTCTTGTTGATTCTAAATGTCGAAAAGGCATAAATTGAAACACTATTTCGTCAATTTTTGATCACAAAAGAGTGTGAGTAATTAAAAAAAAGATAAGTGTTAATTAATAAATTTTTTGGTTGATATATATATTTTACCTGGTAAATGATTAGAAGATTTCACATCTAGTGTAACACTCTCATCTCCTGCATCTTTGCTGATGAATTCCACCTTTATATTCTCTTCATGAATTTTCAGGTCATCCTTGATAACTTCTTGAACATTCGAATCATCCTTGACATCTTTTTCATGAATATTCAAGTCATCCTCGATAACCACTTCATGAATACTAGAATATTTTTCATCCGAATTCTCAATTGATATTGGTTTATATTGATTTGTTGACAGATCCGTGGAAAATAGTTTTTTACTTCTATGAAAATGTTTCTGGTGAGATTTCAAACTTTCCTTTGAAAAAAAAGATTTGTTGCATATTTCGCAACAATATGAATGTTTTCCTTTTTCTAAGTGAGTCTTCACATGTACTTTGAAAGTTTTCCATAGATGGAAAATTTTGGAGCAAAATTGGCAAGAAAATCGTTTTTCTGTATGAATCCTTTCATGATCTTTCAAATAACTCTTATCAGCAAATGATTTTGAGCAGAATTTACAAACAAATGGTTTTTCTGCTGAATGAATCCATTTGTGTCTTCTCAGATTTCTCATCAGTTTGAAAGATTGAGAGCAGATTTTACAAACAAAAGGTCTTTCCTCTGTATGAACCCTCTTGTGAATTACCAACTGACTGTTGGTACGGAATGATTTGGAACAAATTTTGCAGTGAAATGGTTTTATTCCTGAATGAATCTTTTCATGCTTTTGCACTAATTCTTTACTTTTGAAATTTTTCGAACATATTCTACAACGAAACTGTTTTATCCCTTCGTCAGTTTTTTCAAGTTGTACACAATTGTTTTCAGCTACCAAATTTTCACTGCTTTCTTTTTTTAAATAGTTGGCATCATTAGAAATGTTGGTAGTTGTAACTACTGCTTCTATTTCTTTGGATACTGTTGCAATATCTACTTCTGCCACCTGCTGCAATTCAATACCTGAAAAAGGTAAGAAAACCAAAATAATAAATTATTTTCATTATGTTCTTCATTTAAATGGTTGATATCATTAGAAGCAATGTCTTTATTCTCAGATATAATTTTATTTCCTATTTTTGTAACCTACTGCAATTCAACACCTGAAAATATAAAAAGTAGGCTTGACAATTGGTGCTTCAGAAATATATTTCAAGATTTAAAAAGAAATTCATGTCACACTCAAATTTCACAGCTCTAAAAAGAACTGACATATACAAATATTGGGATTTTTTGGACATTATTGAAAAAGCATTGATATATCGACTGCTTATTTCTTCTAGATCTTCCCCATGTCACATGTTTCACAATTTGCATTTGAAAGTAATAATGTTTGGTTTTTTAATATAAAGTCACAACAATGCAGATAAAACAAATAGAATACTCAAATACATTTACATGAATGATTTTAGAGAGTTTTTTTTTCATTTTTAGGTACCTATTCAAATTTCTTTATTGCTATGAGCGTTTTTTACAATGAACTATGAATAGGTAAACCTTTTATGATTATCTGAAACATATCTACATAAAAAATATATTATATGTGTTTTGGTAAGCAGAAAGAGAAATGATAGCAATAATAACATCTGAAACGAACACTATAATTGTAATGAATATTGAAATGAAGTAATTTATATACACAAAGAAATTAATGGCGCAGTAAATGTTGGAATTGGAGTCCTTCCATTTCGAGACATTTTTGAACTTGGTTTTTCAAATTATTTATTGCCCTTAACACACTTATTTGCTGCATTGTTGCGAAATCATTCAAAATCCTCAATCTCTAGTCTTCCACATTTTCTATCTCTGTGCTAGCGTAAATCCTATTTTTCAATGTCCCCCATAGAAAATAGTCCAGAATAGTAAGATTTGTTGATCTTACAGGCCATTATATTGGCCCAGTATTTGTCTCGAAATGGAAGGACTCCAATTCGAACATTTATTGGGCCATTAATTTTTTTGTGTGAGTATATAAATTACTTCATTACAATTATAGTATTGGTTTTGGATGTTATTATTGCTATCATTTCTTTTTCTGCCTATCAAAACACATATATTTTTATGATTTTACATATTCTTCATGAATATTCAAATCATCCACAAAAGCTTGATTAATATTATGGTAATCCTTACTTTTTACTTTTTTTGCTTCACATAGTATTGTAGACAAATCCTCAGAAAATTTCCAATGATCCACATCTGATATTAAATTGACATCAACCAATTCTGGTTCATCATATTCCTGTTTTCCTATAAATGGAAAATTTGGGCTGTTGAAGTCATTATTCGCCATTTTCAAAATTATTCAATTTCCATTAGTCTTCAATTTACCAAACAAACCCGATATATTGAAACTTAGCCAGATAGTTGAAAAAGTCCTGTAAGCTGTTTTCATATATTGTGGTTTCTTATGCTTCCCTGAGTGAAAGTAATTTATTTCACCTATTTATCAGTGTCTCGTGTTTATAATAAATGCAATAAAAAACATTACCACATCACGAATTCACAATTAAATAACTCAAAACAAACAATGAACTTAATACGATGGTTTGTGGTGTAGTATATATTTCACTGTAGCCACAAACCATATGGTCTGTGACTGTAGCTGTTTTAGAACGCTATCTTTAAGATGTCTAAGCTATCTTCTTTCCTATAATGTGCTATATCTCTCATCCCTCAGAACAAAATTAGGTTTGGTGTCACAACCATAGGTATAACCTCAGAGTAATGGTATAACAGTATGTATGGACTGGCCGTTTCTTTTACTTACATTTCACTGGAAATGACGTCACCGCACAAAAGAATATGGTTGTGACTACGTCAACAATAATACGGGTTGCATACTTGGTAGTCCTTAATTTGTATTTAATTAAATAATGATGAAATAAGGGAAATAAATCATTTTAGTAGTATTTGCCATATTTTTTTTGGTATTGCGCGAAAAATAAAAGTCTCAATATGCCAAACCACAAATAAATTTCAGTCAATGATTTCCAAATTTTCAGTTCGATATTTTTCAATACCTTATATAATATTTGCAAAATTCGCACTTACAATATTTTTGACAGAGTATTTAAAATTTTGAAAGTTCAAAAAATACACAGACAATGATTAATGTCGATATGAGAGAACATTTACCACGGACTGAAAGAGTTACTGATAGAATAGATAACAAGAGGTTAGTACTCTTTGCTACCACAAGGATAAGATGGATTTGGATTGTATCAAAGATGCATTCAAACCCTGGTGTTTAAACCGCGATTTGACATATTTGATAAAAGGTTTTCAGCACTTTGTGAACTATAACCATCAAAATAAAGCAGAAACTGACGTAATGTAACGTCAAAATTCCGCTTCAAAGCCATAGTTTCTGGCGTTTAATCGTATTCGAGCGTGTATTCAAACATGATTCGTAGTTACGTCATTTATAATAAGATTCGCCAGAATGGAATGATTCATTTTGTGTCAGATGTCAAATTCAAAAGTATATAGTTATTTGAAGGCATACAGTGATACAGAAGCCAAACAGTTTGGAAATTCATATATGCCTCCTGATTCATTTTTACAAAGTATCATTCATCTAGATGCAGAATTTCCTTATCATTTTTATAATTTATGTGCCACTGATTGCATAGACAACCAGCTCAAAACATTGTTTTCAAAAATCAACATATCTCATCCTTGTGATAATTTTCTTTAGGATTATTTACTTTCTCTTTTCACGAGGGTAAGAATTTATTATACTTTGAAATTTGCCAATAGAAATTTAAAAACAAATGTTTAAAAAAAATCAAAAACTCATCATTCTGAAAAACCTTTAGAATAGATTAACATACATTTTTGACCTAAATTGTATAATCTCACCTTGTTTAGAAACAAATTCAAAAACTTTCAATATTATATGAACGATCAAACTGAATTGAATAATTCGCCATTATTGAATCTGTTCATTTCCCGGCAAAAATAGTTAGGTATATTTACAGTACTTTCTAAAAATTTATTGATATAGTAAAATGACAAATGTAAAAAATATGAAAAATGTATCACTCTGGAAAACCTTTAGAATAGATAAGCATAAGTTTTTGACCTATTTTGTATAACCTTACTTTACAAAATAAACGTTTATTTCACCACCTTGTCTTATTTTTTATCAATTTCTAAACAGTTCACAATCATACGAAATATTGATTGTGAGCTCCTCGATGAAGTCAGATCACAGTCACATATTTTTTGATCGAACCTCGTGCAGAGGTGCACGATAGCTTTTAGCCTACACCCTCCTGCTCCGCCACATGCCAACAAAAAATCAAATCTCGACCCGATACATCAAAGACGCTGACCGGGAGTGAATTTACTTGTGTTTACTTCTATACTGTGACATTACTAATCAGTCTTTTATAGAAATTGAATGTTTGTTGATCCGTCGCAATGGTGCTTCATGAACTAGTTCAGGTGAAGAGTGAAGCAGTT